AAACCCTGTTGTATCATCATATTACGACATAGTAATACGGTTATACTATGGGAAGTTTTGCAGGCCGAGATTTTTGTATTGGAACCCAGTCTTTTTATAAATACATCTGACTTAGGCAGCTAAAATTAGTTTTTTTTTGTGAGAAAACGGAGCTAAAATTAGTTTTTCTTTGTGTGTATAATAAAATTAGTTTTATTATACACATAAAACCAACCTTTAAAATAAAATTCATAAATGGAAACAAAAGAAATAATAATAATAATAATAATAATAATAATAATAATAATAATAATAATAATAATAATAATGGCCGCAAAAACGGCTGCTAATATAGGCTCTGGCTCCCCGTTGTTCACATGAAACTGGAAGCAATTTAATGGAGGAGATAAAATTGCTTACACTGCGTCACGCCTCACGAGCATTATTCATTGGTTTCCTTTTCAATTTAATAGTTTGAAGATTAAATAAATTATTATTTTATACGTGATGTTAACTCAGATACTATAATTTGAAGTATGATACATGTTTATAGCAGAGGTTTTTATATTTTAAAAAAAAGCTCTACATGTTGGTGATATATGAAAATGGTTTTTTTTTTATAACATCACTTGCATTAACAAGTCAAACAAATATATAATTGTCCACATAGTTGATCGTTGTAAAGCACAAAAGTTAAAACTACTCAAACCATATGAAAATTAAGAAATTACATTTTTAGCCACTTGTTTCCTAATCTGGTAGGGTTCGATTTTCGTTCTTGGCTGTTGTTAGCCAAGTAACTCTAGTGTAACTCCTTTTTTCTTGATAATACGAGTAATTTTATGAAAAAAAGGGCTATTCATTTGTCCTCTGTAATCCGTACCCACAAACCAAACTTCAAAACCCGAAAGTCAAAAATCACACGATTTGTTAATGGAGTTCAGTCGTGGTGCAATGTTTTACTCCCACGCTCGAAGGAGACTTTCCCTTGAGATTTGCGTTTTAGATTGATCTTATTCCAATCCAATACAAAGGGTTTCTTCTTTGGTTGAGAATCAAACCCTTTAACTATGGCATAAAATATAAAGTTTCTAATCTCTCTTCTACCCTCACTCGAACTCACTCCATCTATCTATCTATCTATACATAATATTATGACAATTCAAAAGTAGTTTGTTGACACATAAGCATTTGGAGAAAATACAAGGTGCCATGATGGACACTTCTTTTACAAACAAAAAAGTTGGTTAATGATCAATTAATGTAGCTATATCTATCTTCTTTTAATATTTTCTTTTTATTTTAATGATCATTTATGTAGCTATCTCTATTTTCTTTTAATGTTTTCTTTTTTTATTCAATAACAGTTTTTTGCAATATATATGTGTGGCAACAATATACTTATGTTTGGAGAGTGACATATATTGTAATCTTTAAAAAAATATATTTGATTAAATCCGATCAATTAATTTTTATTTTAATTCTATTAGAACTTAATATAGGTTATAATGAAGGAAGTTTAGATAATCAACATTTAGTAATCAATTGAATTTGAAAAACCAACTATAATTTTATGTTTTAGTTATCAAATCAGCCATAATATAGTACTTGATTGTGCAAATGAAGATGATAAAGAAAGACAACTTTTCTTCTCTCTTATAGTGCATGCTTCCATACCTTATGTTCTCTTACATTTGTTATATTTCCCCTTATTTTTCTTAACAGTTTACATATTTCGGTCAAACAAAGGTGTTAATTGCACTTAAAAATACATTAAACTCTTTATATTTTTATATGTATATTATGACATACCTTGAGTAAGAAAATGATATCTAGACCTTGAATTGACTGGAGTTTGGCATATGGTATTATTCTCAAACCCTTAAAGATTAAAACCTAGGTCTTAAATTTATAAATCTCATACCCTAAGATCAATTTAATTATAAACAAAAATCAACGGTCATGATTCGTCAAAATATATGCAAAAATTACATGCACAATCTTAGGGTTAAGCTCTATGATTTAGATAACTAAGACCTAGCTATAGGGTTCACTCATCAAGGGTTAGGGTATAGTATCATGCCCACAAATCTAGTTAATTCGTGGTCCAGATAGCATTTTCTTACTTAGAGTATAGTATCATGCTTAGATATTGGCAATAGATGTGGCATTACACCAACAAAATGAAGATATTAGTATAAGTAATGGAATTTTTATCCCAAAACAAGCACCAAAGATCAATAAATATTAGCAAATGCATATTTAATAAGTTAGAAAATTATACACCAGTGGACCATGTTAAGATTAGAACCCTTGACAGTGTGTGAGTATCTTGGACCGAGATTCTAAACAACGACCACGAGTTAAGGGTGAGTCTAAATTAAACTTTAGGAATAACAATTGGTACATATTGTATAAGATATTGAATTGAGTGTCTTGATCGACAAATATGATCTTACACTAAGACAATAAACTTCCAATTGGGATGACCAAATTTATCTAATATTGAAGTACCTTTATAAAATAAATTCTAAGTAAGCTGTCGTTATCTGCAACATCATTGGTTGAGAGTTCATCCAAACTCGAGATTCATTTCATGGCATATATGTATAAGATAAAAAAAAAAATTGAGTATCATTGTTGACAAATCTTGACATAAGATTCTATATGGGACGTGATATATCTTTGTGACATTATTTATGATAAGAGAATCGAAGCATCATAAGTGAATGTGCTAAGTATTGAGAATTTTTAATTTATAGACGCACCGCGTACTCACGTATGAATGCAAATCTAAAAAATTTAGAAGATCCAAAATAATTTAAACATATAGATAAATTGATTAATTTAAATGATAAAATGAAAATCACCGGCCAACGGGCCGGGTAAAAAGCTAGTTCAAATTTAGAAGATATCACAAGAATCAACCTCACCAAAAGCTCCCCACTTTCACCATATTTACAACCTAGAGATGTTTGGTCTTTTTCACACACAGCTTTCCTACAATCTCTCAACCACACTCATTTTATTCTTCTCCTCTTCTTCTTCTTCTTATGATAGTCTTGCTCTCGTTTTAAATAAACAATTCATACTATCACAAAACTTTCATGCAATCACGAGACCAAGAGACAAGGAAATCATATATATTTGATTTAGACGTTAGAGAATATTTTTTTCAAGTTTGACACTGGACTAGGAAAGCAAAGCTTTCAATAGCTACCTCTGAGAATAACAAACATGCATCCGCCACTTTAGCATCACCGTGCTAGTCTCTTTGGAGCACAAGGAATGATCGTGTTTTTCGTAGATGATATTTTCAACTATTTCATGTGTTTCCATAGTGCGCTCAAGCATTATCAGAGATGCCATTAACAAGGACAATCTTATTCATCGTCAAATATGCTTATAAGAACGACATATTATATCTCCAAACCATGTATCCTCCAAACTGTGTCACTCTCATTGAACACCTTTATTGACCCTAATACACACCGTATTGCAACAACAAGCTACTTCGAGATCATATACAGGGCGTTACTCCCTTTGCAACATTCACATCGAAAATTGGAGTTTACATTATTACTCGAGAAGAGTCGAGCAAACGGTGTAGAAGGATTGCAACGTGCAGCACAATAGCTAGATATCAATGATTGGATCGACCACGTACAGACATGCATCTATCATCCATTGATTCCATGAGTTACAAGGTAGCGATTTTGGAGATCATTCTGTTACATATATTCATAGAGAGTGCAATAAGTGTACAAGTTATATAGCCTGTCGAGAGAGTATTTACTCCCAACTTTGTTTCCATTGTATTTATGTTGCTAATTTTATGCTTGGTCGTTGAACATTATTTTTATTGTCATGGTCTTCCAAACTCCAGTTGGTTATTAATGAAAGATAATCGTAATAGTTCCCATATAATTCAAGGAGAAATTGGGGTTATTTGGTGAAATCAATTATTTTATAAGAGCAAGCACATTATTTGGGAGATTTAATGTGTGGAATTAATAATATTCCGTGGCCGCACTTTAAAAAAAAAAAGTGAGCATTTTTGTCTACAACGAATGAACCCACGGATTGCCGGAGAAAAATGAAAATGCACCTTTATTCCATATTCTTCTTTTTTTTTTTCTTGGAAGTATTTATTCCATATTCGTTTGTAAAAACAACTTCCATTTCTTTTTCTAGAGCATAAAATTGAGCTAGAGAATCATATGCTGCCATTGGTGGACCTTGAAAATAATGGTTCCCATTATAACTCCAACCCATGGCATGAATAACGACACAAATAAATTGACATAATAAAACATAAACAAAAGCAAGTCAACAAGGGAGAGTTCCTAATGAATGGTAGAATAGGTATCAAATTGTGATAGTAATCATCAAAACAGAAAACACTTGAAGATTTTAAATCTAACATTGAAAAGTTTTGCATGAAGTTAATGCGATAGCAATATCGCTTGGAACGACAACTATTTTCCTAAAAATCGTTGTGGACAACAATGATTCTACCACTAAATCGTTGGAGTTAATAGCAATGTTGTTCAAATTTGGATAAATTGAAATATTTTAGTAGTATCGTAATATTTGAAAAAAAAAAAATTCTTAGTAAGTAGGAGGTTGTAAGAAAACCGCACTTTAATTTTAATCTTTTAATTTGGTATTACAAGGATAAGTTTGCTTCCCACTCACATGCATTGCGCTATCAATGCCAATTTGCCCATCCTAACTTCATAATTTGGCTCCCCACTCAATTTCTGCCCTTGTTTGTGGTTCCATTTTTTAAGGAGTGTATACGTGAGATCAATCGAAATGGAATGAAAATATTCACAAAATGAAAGTTTGTCATTCATTCATTTTATCCTTGACCTACTATGTACACCACGAATATATTCGAATAGTACACTTTTTTTTAAATATTTTTTTTTACTATTGCAACCACACAATCAAAAATTGAAAAAAAATTAATACCCAATTCAAATTTCAAATGACACGAAATGATCAAACCTCTTACAAACAAGAAACAAGAAATTCTACAGAAAGCTCAGAAAACCAATCCATCACATATTGCTTGGGGATATTGCTTACCAAGGTATTGTTGGTATGTATCTTGAATCTTGATGAGTCAATGATTAGCTTATTGTTCTCAATATTAGTTACATTCATATGAAATCATCTTCGTTAAGAACCGTACCGATGCTAATTAACAACCCTCGTAGCTAGTCGGGTTTTGGTTTAGCCTTCTTGCCAAATTTTTATAAATGAAAGCATTTTATAGCACCACAAAATGGATTAATCTTCTACAAATAAAGAGGAAGTTACAAACGATGGCTAGAAAGAGTCACATTACCGAAATACTCACCCGATAATCTACAAATCACTAAAAAAATGGTTGTTCCACACCTCTAATCATTCACAATTGTTACTCAAAGCTCTCTATTCAATCTGAAAAGACAATCCGTGCCTCAATCTGGTTTTTTTACCTGCCCAATTACTTACTATAGGTAGTTTGACTTTCTTGAAAAGGAAAAAGATGACAAATGATGATTGTTGATATTGCTAATGTAATCATCTTCTTTTTTGGTTTTCAATGAATTCCTGTTTCTATGTTAGGAGCCAAATCAAAAGTGGTGGAGTTGGTATTTTTGCCTCGGGTGGCCATGGAAGGAATCAAAAAGCCTTTCGAGATCTCTCTCTTTTTTGTCCATTCTCTCTTTACTCCTTTAGGCTGCCAATTGAAACTTTACCTTAGATGCTTCAATCTGCCTCTTTACCCCATTTATATATGTTTTCTATTCTTTCTTCAAATATGGGGACTGGAATCCCAAACCTTGACGCTCTGTTTGGCAACAAATGGGTGCAAATTGCAGGGGGTGCAAGTTGAGGGGTAAATTGTTGGGGAGTGCAAATTGCTGGGGTTGTAAGTGGAGGGTAAATTGTTGTTTGGATGAAAAAGTAGGTGGGTGCAAATGTGTTTACCCCTCACATTTGCACCCTCCTCCCATTTACCCCTCTTCCCAAACAGAGTGTGAGTGACGAGAGCAAGTAGAAACCCTACCATCTAACAACTGTAGCTGTAGAAGGAAAGGTTATGCTTTATGTCGTCGAACTTGTTGCTGATTTGTTACAATATTTTTTTTCTAGTCGCTTTGATTGTTTGATGCTTGTTCGATTAGGCTCACAACCGCCTCTGAATTCTCAGTCATGAAAGTGCCCGACTTTGTAAATTCACTATCGAGGAAGAGACGAGGAGATATACGACACATCCTACAAAATTTCCGTTTGATCTATGCTCGGGCATTTAACTAAAAGAGTATTGAAACGGAAAATCGTAAGCTAATAGTTTTCTCGTAAAAACTAGTAGCATATCCCGAATATATTTACGCATTTGTGTAAAACTGTCCTGAAGCTAGTCCTCATATTGTTAGTGGTCAATCACCCCCCTTCTCTTCTTTAACAAGTTATTAAGTTGGCATTTTTATGTGACAAATAACAGGGAATTTGACCTGACCACCTAAGTGGGATGGAAATCATTATATGTGGTGTGGACACACAGAACCAAACTATTATTTCTTTTTTTCCTATTTGTTTAGTTTTTCTTCAAAGTCAAAAAGATATGCAGATGCAGAACACACAGTGGAAGGAAACAAAATTCCATAATAATAATAATTATTATTATGTGTGTGGAAAAATAAATGGGAAAGAAATTAGGAAGGGAAAGCTCAACGGACTAGAAGAACACAACATAACCATGGTTCATGAAACCGTACCGGATACCGTATCGGAAAAGTCAGCGGTAGGGTATTTTATGGCAAAACCGTGATTTAATCGTAGTTCAACCATTAATACCGTTAGATACCGCCTACCAATTTAATCTCCGATACTGATATTTTGTGGTTGAACCGCTGGTACGATACGGTTTCATGGATCATCAACATGACTAGCCGCAGCAGCAACAACGAAAGTAAAGTTGTCCCATTTGGTCTGTGACAACTAACTAATAAACTAACCCCATCCGGCCATCCCCATTTCCCCACTGATAGTTAATAACTAATAAATAATCAGACCCAGGCATTGGCACAAATTGGCAGTGGCAAGCCCCACACCATTGATGTATATAGGACTGAAAGTTTGGTATTGGTATTTGGGATATACTGAATACCGTATCGAATTTGTCTATATTTAGTATTACCGAATACACGTATTATTTTGTGAGATTGGGATTGGGATTGAATTTCAATTGTTATTTGGTATTAGGGATTACAGGATTGAGATCGATCAATACCGAAATATAAGCTAGTGCGTATTTAATCCTCTCAACTAGACTCTCTCATTCACTACTACGCGACCATCAACCACCAAATTCGTCATTTAATTTATACATAGATCATTACATCACTATTTCACACTACTATTAGTCGTCTCTCAACCTCAAATTCGTCAAATTAAAGATTACCAATTACAAGAATTTGAGATGTTAGCTCTAGGCAACTCAAGACTATTTGCTTAGTCTCATTGCCCTAAATTAAACAATAAAATCTAATTTATATATTTAATTATTAATTGTAAAGGTAATTAATTATGTATTCGATAATACCGATTGGGATATCGAGGTACCGATTGGGGTACCGAAATTATTTAGGGATTGGGATACCGAAATTATTTAGGGATTGGGATTGGGATTGATTTTAGGGTGTAATTCGGTATTCGGGATTTCGATATTTGGTATTGGGATACCGATACCGTACTGATTTCCACTTACACCTTCCGGTCACTGTTCATAGTTTTCATAAACATTATGCACTGTTCATCCAGCAGCTTTTTTTTTTTTTTTTTTTGCGATAAAGGAGGCCAGCGGCCAAGAAGGGAAACAGGGGGAAGAAGACAGGAATTACAAACTGGGGAGAACAGTGATCTGACGCTCAAAGGCCACTCCCCTCCTATCCTCCTCGACAATCTGACAAAGAGCAGGAGGCAAGCTAGGGAGTTCATGCATACCGTAGGGATAGACGAGACTGTGCTTCGAGAGCCAGTCCGCGACTCTATTCCCTTCTCGGTATGTATGAACTATCCTAACTAGCCAATCCTGAGCTAACAGCCTCCGAATCGAGCTCAAAAGCGAAGCATGAGGGTGAATAGGATCCCTGCGACTCTCAATCAGCTGAATGACTAGTTGAGAATCCGACTCAACTATCAGATTTGTGCATCCATAATTCCACGCAAGAGTTAAACCATGAAAAACAGCCCACAGCTCGGCCAGAGCAGCCGAAGCATCTCCGATTTTTGCCACAAAACCCGCAATCCACTGGCCCTGATCATCCCGGATGACCCCACCCGAGCCCGCAAGCCCCGGGTTGCCCGCCGAAGCCCCATCGATGTTCACTTTCATCCACCCACGGGGAGGGGGATGCCACCTGACCTGAACCGTCTCCCGCCTAGAGTCGTGACCCCTTCTGCCTTGCGGAATCGAGGGAGCAAGCCACGCCTTATACCACAGGTTAGCCTTGTGCTCAATGGAGTGGGCCAAGGAAGGGGCGGTGAAGGCCTTCTGCGCGCCTTCAAGGCAAAAGGTGCACCTGTTTTTCCAGATAAGCCAGATAGCAATACTAAAGAAAACATTCCAAGGCATACCGTCTCCCCTTGGGTCATCCTTCTGCAGGTTGCTGTGCAGCCAAGACTCACCCTCACTGGAAAAGAAAGTGTGCTGCCGATCATAGGGAACCCATCTCGACCAGCAGTATCTGGCTGGGGGGCAGTCTCGCAACAGGTGACTAATAGACTCGGGGCAGTCCTGGCAACGGGCGCACGCCGGTGACTCCGCACACTTCCTAGAGAACCGCAGGCAATTAGTGGCGATCCTTCCTCGAGCAGCAAGCCAAGCAAAACAGGTGACTCGCTCCGGCACAGCAAGTTTCCAAATTTTCTTCCACAGCCCCTCATCCTGGTCCGCCGGTCTGGACTGGAGTAGCTGGTAAGCTGACTTCGTAGAGAAATGGCCATTAGCGGTCTCAGTCCAGAAGATGGTGTCATCAACAGAGGACAACACATCTACCCTTGCAGCTGTAATCTTCTGAAGAATTTCGGTTGACAGCCAAGGAGATAAACGGCTGATATCCCAGTTCCCGTCTATGTCAATGTAATCAGCAACCGTCTCCGAGCGCATCTCGTCAGAAATTGGTTGGAGCACCACTTCTGAGAGAGGACCCTGCAAAATCCAAGAATCAAGCCAAAACTTAGTCCGCCGGCCATTATGGATATTCCACGCACAACCCTTCCTAAGAAGGTCAGAAGCCTTTTGAAAGCTTCTCCAAGCAAAGGAACTTCCCTGAACTGGGCGAAGCATCTCAAGCCCTTCCGTCTGCTTGCCGTACTTTGCCCGCATAAGCTGAGTCCAGAGAGTATCCTTCTCCTGCAAAAGCCTCCAACCACCTTTTGCTAGCAGAGAAAGGTTCGCTTGGCGGAGAGATCTGAGGCCACCGCCCCCCTGAGCCTTGGGCTCCGCTAGCTTGTCCCAGGCCACCAAGTGCATTTTCCCTTGATCACCGTCCTTGCCCCAAACAAAATCCCTGTTAATCCTGTCAATAGAATTGCAAACATTCATAGGAATTAATTCTGTTTGCATAGTATAGGTGGGAATGGAGAGGGATATAGAACGAGTCACCGTGAGTCTCGCTGCAAAGGATAGACGCTTTGCCTTCCAGGGGGCAAGTTTCTTCTGAATCTTCAGGACCAGATCCTGATACCGGCTCTTGGTCACCCTCCCATGAATGGTCCGAATGCCTAAATATTTCCCAAGCTCCTTAGCCAGAGGAATGGCTGCCCTGCCGCTCAGTCTTTGCGCCCTAGCTGTGCAAATATTCGGGGACACATACATGATGGATTTAGCATAATTGACTCTCTGTCCCGAACTGTCACAGAATTCATCCAAGCAAGTCCTAATCGCCCTTATCTGAGATCCCGAGGCCTCAGCGAAAAGGACCAAGTCATCTGCAAAAAAGAGATGGGTGAGAGCGGGACCATTCTGAGAAATGCGAACGGGCTTCCATAGCTTCTCCCTAACAGCCCGATCAATTCTATGAGATAGACGCTCCATGCACAGAACAAAAAGATAGGGTGAGAGAGGGTCTCCCTGGCGAACCCCCCGGGTGGGGGTGATGGGTTGCAGGAGTTGGCCGTCCCAGAGAATGCGCATCCGGTTCTGCTCGACACAGTACATGATGCAACGAATCCACGAGCTCGGCAGTCCCACTTCAACTAAGGTATCCCGCAAAAAGTCCCAACGCAGCCTGTCGTAGGCCTTCTCTAGATCTATCTTCAGCACAAGACCACCCTTTCTGCCCTTCTTCTTCCGAAGAGAATGGAGAACTTCCTGCACCACAAGGATGTTGTCTGCAGTTTGGCGCCCAGGAATAAAGCTGCTCTGGCGAGGGGAAACCAGGGTCTTCATAACTGCTTTCAATCTACTTGTCATAGCCTTGGTAATAGCTTTCAGGCTCACATTATTCAAGGAAATAGGCCTCAGTTGAGAAACTAATTCAGGCTTCTCAACTTTAGGAATAAGAACCACAGTGGACTCAGACACCGCCTCCGGAAGAGGCCCTCCTTCAAGAAAGGCCAGCGCCATTTCCGTTAGGGCCTTCCCCACCACTTTCCAGGACTGCTGATAGAAAGCTGCCTGAAAGCCATCTGGCCCGGGGGCCTGCAGGGGCTTCATATCAAAGACAGCTTTGTGGATATCCATGATCGAGAACGGATGGAGCAAACGAAGCCACTCTTCCTGACTCAGGCGCGGGAAAGCCCCTTTGGGCATCAAGTCCTCATATTGCTGCCCATCCTGCAAATAGAGGTCAGAGTAATAGTTGAAAATGAGAGTTGCTAACTCCTGCTTATCTTTCACCCAAGCTCCATCCACCCCGCGCAAACACTCAATTTTGTTTGCTCTCCGTCTGATATTGGCCATTTGATGAAAGTAAGCAGTATTCCTTTCTCCGAACTTGACCCACTTCTCTCGAGACCGTTGGAACCAAAAGAGTTCCTCTTGCTCCATCGTTCTCTCCAGCTCCGCTTCTAGCTTCGAGTGAAGCTTGGCTAGTGCTGGAGAAAAGGACATAGCCAGCCCCTTCTCAATCCCCGCAAGCCGAGCAGCCAATCTCTTCTTCCTTTGGAACACACTGCCAAAGACATCTAAATTCCATGTCTGGAGCTGCTTTGAAAGGTCCTGCAAGGCAGAAGTGAAATCAGTCTCACCATTCCATTTTTCAGTTATGAACTGTTGAAAATTCGAATGCGTCATCCAGGCTGCTTCAAATTTAAAACGCCTAGGGGAAGAGTTAGAAACTCCCTGGTTCATCACAGTCGTGAGGATTGGGCTGTGATCAGAGCTTAACCGAGCGAGGTGGACAACCGAAGTGTGGGGGAATTTATCATTGAACTCCAAATTGCAAAGGCTTCTGTCAAGCCGGCTGGCTTTGAGATTCTGAGGCTGGTTGCCCCTAGTCCAGGTGAACTTGGCTCCGGAGAAGCCAAGATCGATCAATTCAGCTTCGTTGATCCAATCCCCAAACTGCTTACAGCGCCTGAGAGTGCGAGTAGAAGTCTGTCCCGTCGTTTCTGTCGGAGATAGGATTGCGTTGAAGTCACCGGTGAGAATCCACGGGCAGCGGATGTCTCTGCTCTGGGCCAACAGGCTGTTCCAAAGGAGCTTTTGAGGCTGCTGCCGTGGAGAGGCATAGACAGCAGTTAACTTCCAGTCGGGCATGCTTGTTGTAGAGATGTCGAGGGTGATATGTTGTGACCCAGCAGAGGCAACTCGGGCTGAGTATTTTTGCGCGTTCCAGAAGATCCAGATGCCACCGCTACGACCGGAAGCCTCAACGCGGAACACATTCGGGTAGCCAAACTTGTCGCAGACACGGTTCGCAACATCGCCGCTGACCTGGGGTTCAACCAAAATGACAATATCAGGTCTATGGAGTTGGAGCGCAAGCTTAAGAGAACGAGCAAAGCCTGCGCTACCAGCCCCTCCCACGTTCCATGAGAAAATTTTGAAACAGAAATTATGCATAATCGACATATAAAAGGACAAGAAAGAAAAGGCAGAGAAACGAAAAGGGAAGAAAGGCTCGGTCGGCGGAGGAATCAGGATGGCCTGAGGGCAGCTCCGGTCTCGCTAGCAGACTCATCTCCCCTGTTCGCCAGAGAAGGGGTGGATTCCCGTTCCGTTCTGCTCGTCGGCGCATTGCTAGCCAAATCCGTCCAATCCTTGATCTGATCAAGAGTTAGGGACACACGTCGTTCTCTACTTTTGCACTTCTTCTCCTTGATCGGAGACCAGATTTGAAGAGGCTTCAGGGGGTTGTGACGGAGCGGGGTTCCCTTCTTCGAGCTCGCTTGTCTTTCTTCCTTCTGCCCCTTCTTCTTCTTTGTGCGCGTTTTCGTTGACGGAGTTGACGGGTCAACTGTCCGGGGCGGAGGGAGATCATATGGCTGGGCTTGCACGATCTGAATGTGTGTGCCTTGAGGCCCAATGACCGAATGGGTCGGGAAGATATTGGGCCGCGATCCGAGGTCTTCTTTAGTTGTCTTTCGTTCCCCGGGCCCATTGTCTTTAAAAGCGGCGGAGGGGCCTGCTTCCATGGAGCTATCCATCACGTCGGGCTTAGTACCCACACTCGTTTTAGTGGACTGCGGTCGCGGGCCCAAAACCCCCTTCCCAGAGACCTGAGTGGGCTCTCCAATCTTTCCTTTCCCTTTGCTGTCCACTTTCCCGTTGCCTCCTATCCCAGATTTTGCCTTGTCCCCCGCTAGAGAACGTTGTTCTGCTGGCCGTTGTTGATTATTCAGGGGAAGTTGGCCATAGGAGGTAACTCCTTGATTCTTGGAGAGATTTCCTTCTTTTCTTTCCTCTTTCCTTGCTGACCCCTGATTCTCTCGCTTTCCCTGTTCCGCCTTGCCATGATTGGGATTCTCCCTTGGACTCCGCCGAGATTTCCTCGTAACAAGCATCCACGGTCCAAAGCCGCCGACGTCGTCCGTCGGAGCTTCTGTTGCGAGATTCTCCGGCGACGGTCGTATTCCGGCCGAGATGTTAGCAGGATCCATCCGAGTCACCAAAGGGCAGCAGGGTCTCGTATGGCCAATCTTGCCGCACTCGAAGCAAACGACCGGCAAGTTTTCGTACTCTATTTTTTGCCACTGATCATCCAGCCGAATCCTTGGGATTAGGGGCTTGGAGAGGTCGACCTCCACAGCTATCCTAGCAAACTTAGCTCTCTGTTGGTGTAAAGTATGGAAATCAAGTTTAATAGCTCGACCAATCAGATTGCCAATGGTGAATAGTATCTCCTTGTGGTAAAAATGGACTGGAAGCCCTGGTAACTGAATCCAAACAACCATTGTGCTTGGGAGGCTTTCTGTGATCCTGAATCCGGGCGTCCATTGGCTGACGAGGAGATAGTGATCAAAGATCACCCAGGGTCCTTCCGTCAACGCTTTGAAATAATCTTGGTCATTTCCGAGCTTCACAAGGAAACAATCCTCATCCAAAGCTAATACCTCCATGCTACCAGATGGGCGCCAAAGGGCCCTGATTCTATTGCAGAGCGTTGTATAGCCAATATTCCTTCCCAGCAACCGCACCACCAAGGTTCGCTGCCAGGGGGCACTAAGCTTCGTCTTGAAGCTGTCAGATAACCGCAGCTCAGGCTCTCCTTGGAACGATCCTGGAATGAGATCGTGTTCACCAACAGGAATCCACTGTGACATAGGGCCTTTCGACATACTCCCCTCCCCTGCCACAATACCAGCATAGGAGACGATCCGCTTTGAAGGCGAGGTGGGAGTCTGGTCACCAATGGTGTCAGCAGCGTGTACCTCGATCGTATCTCCCGTCGGCGAAAGCCCCAGATTTGTTGGTGCCGGCGGCTTGTCAACCTGCATCCCAGCGAGCAGGTCCCCTGTGGATGCCTTCGGAGGATTATCCCCTGCCCCTGTCGACGTTGTGACCTCTGTAAAAAGTTGGCAGTTGTCCGGCGGGCGCCCCGAAGGGATCGAGCTGTCCGCCGGCATCGCAATCAGAGAAGAGCTCATCGCAAATCCAAGTAACCCCTGTTCATCCAGCAGCTGAAAACGCAATCGAATAGTGATATTAAATGCATGAGGACACCATGGTAAGTGGAGGGAAACCCAGTTGAAGATCCCCACAGTTACGATTTCTATGCAATGGGGGGATTCTTGGAAAACTGAGGATTTGGTTGGGAATTGGAGTTCATATACAGTTTGAATGAGACAAGAAAATTGCCCTGATCTTCCTGCCTGTGATGGGTTGATTGCAAATTGCAATAAACTAATTTTCTTCTAGTTCCCAAAACTATATATACTAACTAACTAATAATAAAGAAAACATACAGCAGAGAATCTGGATATGGGGATGGATATGATGACAAATTGACAGCCCAATGGTCAGAAGAAACGTAGCCTTATTGGATAAACAAATGCTGGAAAAAACTTGCTAGATAATACGACTTCTCGAGGCAAGGCTGCCTGTCACATGCATGATGATGATGATGTGCATATCCAGCAACTTCAATCATCAATTCGATCATGCAATTCGAGCACGAATAAGAATGATTAGGTCGATCATACGGTCATAGTATCAAAACGTTGTCACGAAATCAAGGGGGTGATGATTAATAAGCCTGTGAAATTATAACGAGATTGCATGATTTCAGACGACTCCTTGTTTCGTCAGAATTCAGCTAGGGCAAGCTCGCTAACCCTTTTCCTGTCTGCAATAGGAAAACGAAACACGGGCGGAAAAAGTTTTCTAGGATGGCATATGCAAAGATCACTTTTCTTTCTTCTGGTTCCAATTCCCAATCTCTTCCCCTGTCTTGTTTGTACTATCTAAATTCTTTAACCCTAACTCCTCCCACCCGCCAGCCAACCGCCATGGTCACCGAAAGCTGCAGCACCACGGTTCCCCGGGACCGACGTTCTACTTCACTACCAGAACCTCTGATTAGCAAGCTCGGGGACGATCTCCTCACAGAAATTCTAATTCGCCTACCGCATCCTACATCCGCCTGCCGGAGCAAATCCGTCTGCAAGCACTGGAGGTGCCTGATTTCTGATCCCTGCTTCAGCCGCCGTTTCCTTTCTCACCACCAGGGCAAGGGCAAGGGCAAGAGCAAGAACAACCAACCTCCTCCTGAACCTGAGCTGCTTCTCTCAGCTGACAGCCTCCTGAGCTTCCTCCCCATGCCGGCTTATTATTACAGAGACGGCGAGCGGGAGAAATTCGCGATTTTCGATTGCTTCAAGGACCTGCTCTTGTGCGGGTTCGGGGAAAGCGGTTACGACCATTCCAATCTGGAGCTAGCCAGATCCTACTTGCTCTGCAATTCGTTCACGAAGCAATGGGTTGCCCTTCCTTTGGCTCCCGAGACTCCGAGTCCGGAGAATGGACCAAGGAGGCTCTTGTTCTTCAAGGTTACCGGATATGCGAGAAGCAAGATGTTGTTTCATGTAATGGGATTCTATACGTTCCGTGCAGCAAACCAGCGGGCAACAGCAACAGGCACGTTTGGGTGTCGTATATCAGTCTGATTGCTGGTCTCGACCCTTTCCGCCTCGACGTGCCACACGTTTCCATTGACATCTACTCGATTTGCTTGAACCAGTCGTGGAACATTTCAATCTCACAAGGTGCTCTGCATATGGCTGTGCAAGAGTTCAGGCCAACCGAAGAAGGTTCGGTGATTATTGCTTGGAGTGTTTGGAGGCTGAACGAAGAAGGCGGCATCATGTCGTGGACAAAGGTATGCGAGAGCGGAGTGGAGTCGTCGCGTTATCCACTCTTCTTCTGCCATGTTCCTACCCTGCATCCAGAGCACCCAGAGATCGCCTTCTTCACTTGTTTCAGTGAGTATTGTCACGTGTCCTGCGATTTGGGGGAGGGGAAGGTGGGAGAGCTAGAGATCGTAGCTGAACAAACTCAATTCTTTTACGGTTGGAGGGTCTTCCAGCCTAAACAGCTCTCTTGTTGTTGTTGGCCTACTCAAATCCCCCGGTACCAGAAATTGCGAGGTGCATATGATGGAAGCTATAGCTGTTGGGTTCAGAGCCACCAACCTCGAACTCCCTCCATAACTGGTAATCACTACTTCTTGTTCGTATTTATCTATCTTCGTTCCTACGGTTATGTTATGTCTCTCTATATATATATATACACCGTCAAACCGAGTTCGAGCTAGCTTACTTACTAGAATATTCACTCGTATTTGATATATTTATTTTGTATGTAATGTATGATACATGTGATTAATATGATGATGATGATAATAATAATTGTTAAGTGTTCAATATTAACTAATGTTATACTTTGCGGTATCATATTATTTAGTTAATAGATTTTAACTAGTCAAAATCATGTAATTTCATAGTATCGAAGTAATCTATGATACATAATTTTTCTGTTTAAAATACAATAAGACATATTTGCTTGCATAATCTACGTGTTAAACTTCATATAGGGCGAGATATATAATTTAAAAATTATATGAATCATCAAAATCAAACTCACATTGATCGATTCGCTTATAAGTTGGTAATCGAGTTGGCTATCTAGTCATAATGTTGAGAGTTGAGACATCTCATGAGCTATAAACGAGCCAGCTCACGACTTAACCTCAACAAGTCATCGAGTCGAGCTAGCTCGCGAGCTCCATGAGCTGCAGAATGCTTAGCTCAAGCTCGGCTGATTTGCAGCCCTCTGATGCAGAGAGAGAGAGAGAGACATACATGGTGTACTGGATTCTTTCTCCATATTTCTACCTTGTGCGTGCGGTATCTAATCATACCTCCCCTCTTGTTTCTATGTTGTGTTTGTTTTCATTTTCCCAACCAATAAAAGAACAACGTCACGTCGACGGAGTTGAACAATTCAGTCAAGAAGTCGAAAGTGGTGCAAGGCCATCCTCGTCGGCAATAACAAAGTGGAGGAGAATTGGAGGAGGTTATTATAGAGTATAGGTCGAAGTCCATTTCAGGACATTCAATAAAACTAGGTAGATTATGTGTCGCTCTTTGCTGTGGTTTTTTATAGAATTGGATATATTGTTTGCTAATTCGTATTTGATTTGTAATCGTGATAGGAGATTTTAGCTGTATGAAATTATTTAATCACGATTGAACTTCAATTATAGCAGGAATGCCATAATGCTAACTTTTCCGGTACGACATTCGGTATGATTTTATAATTTTTTGTTTTTTTTGAACATACATCGTGGCTCGGGTTGGAGCAACGTGTCAACCCTGATTTTATGACGATTGAATTATGATTTTAACATAAAATATCATAATTCTAATTTTTTTGGTACGACTTTCATATGGTTTTACTTTTACAATTTTTGTTGTTTTTTTTTTCTTGAATATAAATCCAGACTCGGGTTGGAAGCAATGTGTCAAGCCTGATTCTAACAACGGTCAACTACGATTATTGTACAAGATACTATAATACTAACTTTTTCGGTATGACCTTAAGTATGGTTTTACTATTTTCTATTTTTTTTTACATAATTTAAGGCTCGGGTTGGAGCAATATGTCACGTCGTATTTAACCACGGTTGAACTACGATTATACCGTACTGGTCGTCCAATCGAAAAAATCCTAACGGAATCTAAATCGTAGGTGATTTTAGCGGTATGAAATGATTTAACGACGGTTGCACTACGATTTAGCACAAAATGCCTAATGCTAACTCTTTCGATACAACCGTCGATATGGTTTTACAATTTTTTATTTTTTCTAAAGATGCATCAAGGCTTGGGTTGGAGCAAAATTTCAAGCATGATTTAACGAGTATTCAACTATGATTTTAGCACAAAATACCCTAATGCTAACCATTAGTAGTGTCCGTGATTGTGAATCCGGTTTGGCCCGTTAACCCAGTCGAGTTATCGGGTCAAGGTAAGTTATGTAACGGCAAGGTTTTGAGGAGCTAATACAGCTTAAAATAGGCGATTACTTGCAGCTGCAGATACCAGCCAGCTATATATTCCATCAAACAACAGTAAGTACCGGTACAACTGTAAAATCTCTTTCATTACATCAGAGGGTTGCTGTCCATTGTAGTATGAAGAGGAGAAGAGAAAAAAAGACTCCATAGTGACAAGTTACTTCCTTGCTAGGAAGAGGGTTGGTTCTAAGTGCAGCTAACCAGAGGTTCTGTCGCCACCAAAACCGGACTCCAGGAATCCTGTTTGGTTGAGATGGCTAACATCACCCCAAGATTTTATGGTCCACTCGTCTCCATCGGATATGTGAAAGATGTGGACAGAAGTATTCAGTATCTTTGCAGGCCTCCCGCTAGGGCAAGCTCGCTTGTGTAGTGATCTGATGGTGCCTCCGTGACTCACCACAACCACTCGCTCCCCTGCAAGTTAAACATGGGTCACGATATTAAAGCGATAGCTGGACAAGGATCGTTGAAGTAGATGGTACATGTTTCCTCCTAGGACCAGGAATTTAACAGGCAAAAATAGACTACTCAAAAGTACCAATTCTCTGCTTTTTTCATGTGTTACTTCTTGTCCCAATGACTGCTACTCAAATGTACTACTTTGAAAGAACTCGTGAGCTTTCAATGTCGGGCTTTCTAGCTTCTTGCGATAACAATTTAAGTGTCGATATACATCCGGAACTGAGGAAGCATCGCATCCATATATTATGAAGATAAGAAAACAAAAATCTAGTAGAGAGTAGTAATGACACTTTACCTCTATGCTTTGCAGCAATTCTTTGAAATGAAGATGTGGAGCGCTCATATAGTTTATCAAGACTTTCACCACCGCCCTGTGTATACGGGAAAAAGCATCATTGGAGATTATTGGCAGAGAACAAATTTATCAAACTGTATCTGGCATGCTTTATGTAATAATCAACTCTAGACCCTACTTGTTCTATGATCACATTTATTAATCATTACTGTTAACACAAAATAATTCTACAGGTAAAATCTCTTAATTCACACTTCAAGACAGACATCCTTGGGACTACTGCAGAATTCTATGCAATTAACCTATCTGCATAAGCGAAGGAGTTAGCTTCAAACTAGAACCATATTCCATAGCACTGTGAACTCAGGCAGATTCCGCTTACAGGTATACAACTATCCAGTAAAGGGATCATAAACTCTGAACATAGTAATGGACATGTAGCATACAGGGATGTCTTGGCTGGTTTTGTGGGATAAAAACGCCTCATATGCCTCCGGAGAAGCTTTGGCAGCTTCACTTAACGAAAGGCCCTGTAGATCCCCCAAATGCCTTTCTCGTAGCCCTGGTTCCTTGATAACCTGGAAGCTTTAGGGAATCAGCAGAACTAGTGTACCAGATGAGAAATGAATAGAAGCCAACACTGAATCTCATAAAACAAATTGGTTGAAAGTTACAACTGCGAAAAACACTTGATATCAAGCGGATAACCAAAGGGAGTGTAGATAATTCAGCGCAGAGCAATATTACTAGTCAAACAAGGCAGACCAAGTGTTACATATATCCTTCTGATTGTTGCCTAAGAAGCCCAAGTTGAAGAAAGCTGTGGCAGCATTCATACCTCAATACCGCCGCATCTATCAGCAATTGCTTGCGCCGTGTCAAAAGCTCGTTTCAAGTCCGAAGAATATACAGCAGAAATCTTAGACTCTTTGGATAATCGATCAGCCACCTTAAACAACAAACAAAAAACTTCCATTCATCAAGTGGGTATTATGCCTCTCTCATAAGCACCAAAAAGGATAAGCAATAGATTAGGACACAAACATTACCAAAGCAGCTTGTTGTCTCCCAACTTCATTCAGGTCAACATCGACATGTCCCTGTAGTGTGTGCAAGAGTGAGACTCCATTAGGTCCCCCATAAGACAACGAGGCCGAGGGGACACAATTGAAACAGACAACAAAGGGCCACTAAACCAGTCAATTTTCAGGGTTCCAATCAAGAAAAATGGCCCCATAAAAATGGTTATTCTGATTCTGAACATCAGAGAGTAAGAAACTTTGCCAGAAGCTACGATCAAAACAACCAATAGAGATCAATTACATCAAGTTTCTAGCAGCTCCATTCATAGACTCCCAACACATGATCGCTAGAAAACTAATCTCGACTACACGAGTGGGGAGAAAGAAAGCTAACCTGAATCCTTTTATCAGCATTCCACTCCGTCTCGCCGTGACGAACAACGACGATCTCCGTATAAGCCGGATGAGCAGAGCTGCCCAAAAAAAAAATCACCTCAGATTCGAACAAAAAAACCCAGAGCGAAAATCGGGGGTGAGAGAGAGAGAGAGAGAGGAATGAGAAGAAGCACGATGCTGGACCTGGGAATCGAATTGGAGTCCGTCATCGATACCGACTCCGGCTCGTCCGTTTCGACGAAGCGAATCGGTCGGCGGCGAACAGATACCAGACGTGGTGTGGTGAAGCTTCCGGCGACGGGGAGTGTCAAGTGCCGATGAAGCGTACGCGGAGGAAATGCTTGGCGCGGCAGTTGTATAGTGCCACAATTGCGCAGTGTGGTCATCTGGGCATAGATTCGCCCATTTCGCTCTGTTGCTGGGTTTTCGCCTTTTCGGCGTAGAACTGGATTCAGCTGAATAATTATATCACGTCATTTCTTTCCCCTTTTCTGGTGTAATCACTTTTACTAATCACGCTTCCGTATTGGGCCAGCCAGAGTAAGAAGCCCAGTGGAGGCCCTGGACACATATATCTTCCTTTTCTACAGGCCCCAAGGCCCAAGCCACATCCTAATTAATAATTATCACTGATTTTTAATCTGAAGGTATTAAACTGGAATCTCTTTTAAGTAATAATATATATTCCATCTCGTGTTTGTTCTGCTTTTTTATTTATTTATTTATTTAAAGTATACTTTCATGGAAAGAATCAGACAATCAGTCCATTGATCCACTGGTGTATGAAGAAGACAGTTTTGTCCGCGAAGTGCAAAGAGATAATTAGGATGCCTTGTTCGGCTGGATCCAAAAAAGAATTATGAGAATTTGAGGGATCCCTCTCTCTCTCTCTCCAGCTATTTATTTTGGGGTGTCAATGTCATAATCAATTACTAATTAATTAATCACAGTCGAAACAAAATAAATGACTGCTTAAGCTTTAATTGGACGTGCATTAGCTTGGCGTTGGCTGGCTTGCATGGAATCCTAACCGCCCTCGGATTTAACCCATTGCATGACGATAGCCCAGCCCAGCCCAGCCCACTAACAAGAAAGCCTCCTTGGAATTCTCTTGCTGTGGATAATGCCAACCGCTAGCTAATGTGAAAATTGATTGTGAATATCAACGTCCTTAGTATTTTGAGAAATTTGGTTAGTATTTTAAAATGGATATTGAATCGTAGTCTAGTTCGACTCTTACGGTGTCGTACATTGTTTGAGTATATACTGATGGAAGTGACTACCAAACATGCAAGAGTGTCGTAGACATTCCACGAATAAAATGATTTTCCCAACGATTCGGATTATTGAAACTAAATAATTTGTTGGTTAATACGAGAATGGATACAGTTAAATCGGCTAAATTGCAGAATCGACAAAGTACTTGAACGACGGGGGAACCAGTCAGCCACGGTGGAATACTCTGACAGATACCCGGAAAAGAGCGGGATGAACAAGGGAATTAAAAAAAAAAAAAAATAGAGCCTTTCAATCGGCTAAGTCATATAAAAAGAAAAAAATCTATCCTCCATCCAATCCTCCGCCGCGCGGAAAGCTATGGCAGACGACGGAAGAGTCCGGACGGTGAGGTCGGAGATGAAGGAGCTGATCAAGACGAAGGAGGAGCTGGATCGAGCCAAGGACGAAGCGACGCAGTCCTGGCTCGATTCGAAGCCGCTGATCGACGAGCTGGAGAAGCTTCAGTCCGAATTGGACGCGGCCAAAAGCAGGGGATCGGCGGCGAGCGCGGCGGTGTTGGAATTGCAGTCGGAGGTGGAGGCGAATCACCGGGAGGTGAGGTCGAAGATGGAGGAGGAGGTGAAGGCGATGAAGGCGACGAACGAGCTGACCCTGGCGGTGGATCAGACCTGCAAGGATCTGGAGGCGATCAAGGTGGAAGCCGACGAGCGGCGGAGGGAGCGGCGGAAGCTGAAGCAGGTCCTCCGGATGCGGCGGCAGAGCCTCCGCGCGCTTCAATTGAAGCTCCGCGCGGTGAGGATCGAGGCCGCGGCGTTCGCGGCTTCGGCGGGGGACGCGGCGGCGGTCATTGCTCTGTCGGCGGAGGCGGTGGAGGAAGAGGACGGCGGCGGGAGGGTGGAATTGACGGCGGAGGAATACGAGGCGCTGACGGGGAGGGCGCAGGAGGAGACGGCGCTGTCCCGGTGGAGAGTCTCTGTTTCGGTGGAGCAGAAGCTCGCGGCGGAAGCCAGCCGGAATATTGCTCTGGCGAGATTGAAGCAGGTGTACAGTAATTCGAGCAATTTTAACAAGGTTAACGGTGGGAAGAGCCGGAGGAAGGCGGCGAGGTGGGAGGATGAGGAGGAGGATGTGATCGTGGAGGACGAGGAGGTTATGGCGGCGCCGGCGGGGATTAAAGGAGGAGCGAGGAGCGATGTAGTGGAAGAGGAGGCGGCGGCGACAGGGGATTCGAGCGGCAGAGCTGGAGGACAGATTGTGATTCCGAAAGCTAGGGCCCGGGCGATGGCGGCGGAATCGAATCGCAAGAGGCTGCCGCGACCTCCGGCGAGGAGATCGGCGAGTCAGGATAGTAACGGGAGGAAGAGAGTGGTGAAGAAGAGAAGCAAGCCGTCGTTTTTCGCCAAGGTTTCGAGCTTCATAAGGGGAATTAAGAAATGGTTCCGCTGATTTCTGAGTTTTCCCTTTCTGATTTTGGAATAACGGGGTGGGATTTTAAGATCGCCGTGAAATAATCCGCCGGACGGCCGGAACCATTTTTTTCTTTCCGATTTGATTCCTCGGAGAATTTCCTGTGAATTTCTTTTCTTTCCGCTATGAATTCTCTGAATTTCTGAAATGAAAATATTACTGTTTCGGGCCAAAGTCTAGGACGATGAGATAATTTTTGATTTATTAGCGGGCCAGGCCCGCCTCAGTTGTGAAGCCCAATATGTGAATGGGCTCCGTCCTCTCCTCGCGGAGTTTTGAACTCTCCGGCTGCTACTCTTCTTTTCCAGACTTCTCAGTTTTTTTCTCCAGCAGTGGTCGTCGTCGTCACTCGTCTGTTCCAATCTACTAATAATCAGTAGCTCCGGCGAAGTTCCATCATCGGGCAAATTCCTCCTCCGGCTTCAATCGCTCGTCAGCAGAAGAATGAGCAAGAGACCACCGCCTGATCCCGCGGCAGTATTGAGAGGCCACCGTGCCTCGGTGGCGGACGTCTGCTTCCATCCCTCCAAACCTATTCTGTTCAGCGGGTAACCAGATGGTTTCGTTCCGCCTTGTTTCTGTAAGATTATCTTTCTCAGTTTTTCGAATCGGAGTGTGTTCCAATTGCTCTTGTTTCTGGTTCAGCTCGTCGGACGGTGAATTGCGGATTTGGGACATAGTCCAGCATCGAACGCTGTCGTCTTCATGGTAATCCATCTCTTCCGAGAAATCGCGGCGGCGTTCAGTTCAGCTGTTCTTAGTTGAACGTTCGATTCGATTTCGTGCCTAATTTTTTGCCTTGTTGTGGGAAATAGGGTGCACAGTGCGGCTCACGGCATCCTAACAGTGGCTAGCAGCTCTGAAATTGGAGCCAACAAAGTAATTAGGTACCCTTCTCTCTTTGAAAATTTGATTGGTGATTGAATTTCTTGTAGTGGGTAAGGATAATATTCATTTGGGTTGGTGCTTTGGTTCAGCCAGGGGAGAGATGGAACTGTCAAGTGCTGGGATATTCAAGATGGTTCCCTCTCCAGGTACCAAAGAATCATTCTTCATTGCAAAGCGAATGTTTATATTGATTTCTCAGGAACCCTTTTTGTGGAGTTGAAAAAGGGAATTCATCCACTAACAATGTGATTGGTAATTTCTTCTGTCGTTGATCTGATCAGGGCGCCTCTGGTTACCATTAAGACAAGCTCTTACCACTTCTGCAAGCTGTCACTAGTCCAAATGCCGGCTGCTGGTGCTGGAGCAGCCAACTGGTGTAGAAATCAACAAGAGAAGGAGAATGTGGATGTTGTCTATGATGGTAGAGGCAATCTTGGTGAAGATGAATCAGAGAGCTCTAATAGTACTGAAGGTTTGATAGTGTGAGGTGCCCTAAGTGTGTAATGGTACTGTTTTTCAACAACGGAACTGTGTCCTATTTATCCAGCGTTACTGAAATGCCGTGTGTTCTTTTTCAGAAGATAGTCATTGCGGCGGACCAAATTGTATTGCTGTAGCAGGGGAGTTGACTTCGGAGGTGAAACCACACTTTGTGTTTCTGATTGTTCATTGGTCTGCCAATTTTTTTTAGCTTTTAATTTCTGGGTCTTCACAGCGTAGAATGTCTCTGGTTTTGATATTCATGAATAGGTTGAGTTATGGGATCTTAAAAGTGCTGAGAGGATTGCACGATTACCTGAAAGCAGCTCAACTGGCTCTCCTAGTATTTCTGGCAGCCAAAGAGGTCCATATTGAATCTCAAATGACTTAAGATTGACAATATTTGTACACTTGGTCAAAGAAAATCAACATTTGATTAATGCTTCGTTATTGTTATGTCTGACATTCTGCTGACTGGGGGGAACAATTTTTGTTCAGGGATGTGCATGTCAGTTCAAGCATTTTTACCATCGAGTTCACAGGGATTCCTAAATGTTCTGGCTGGGTATAGTCCTGCTCTTTTTCGCATGTTATTTCATCCCTATCAGTTTGAAAGAATTTGTTATGTTGGATTTATAAATGATTTCATTGTTGGCATTCTCTGAATTCATTGGGAGGTCTTCATTTCATAATAACTATTGTGCTATATAATTGTGGAATCCGCTTTAGGACTACAGAACTGTTAGTTGTAAGGAACATTGAGATGGAAGTGTTTTGATCCCTAAACTAGGGAAGACAACTTTCCATATTGCAGATCATCAACGACAAATATTGCTGGATTTCCTTAAGTAATGTGTCTTCTGTATCTTGATATGGCAGTTATGAGGATGGTTCCATGCTTTGGTGGGACATTCGCAGTGCTGCAGGTCCTCTCACTTCTGTGAAGTATCACTCAGAGCCTGGTGAGGGCTAGCACTAAATCACCCCTTTTCTATTCCAATTCCTCTACTAATGATGTCGTTTGTTTGTCTTTATAAAGAAAAGAAAAATGATATTGTTTGTTTGTGTTCTTTTTGTAGTTTTAAGCATATCCATTGATGGGTTCTGCACAGGAGGAATCTCTGGATCTGCTGATGATAAGATTATGTTATACAGTTTCGATGCATCCACGGTATTACATATGATTACGATGCTCTATTCAATCACCATCTCCTCAACCGCTTCTGTGTCCTAATGTTTCATTTTTCACAATTTGACTGCACAAAACAGGGCTCTTGTATCATAAGGAAAGAGATAAGCTTGGAGCGGCCAGGCATATCAGGCACCTCAATTAGACCAGATGGAAAAATTGTGGCTACTGCTGGTTGGGATCACAGGTTCTTTAACCCTTGCATCTTTCATTGAACTTCGCAACATTTAGACTGAAAAGAACACGATCTTCTCAGTTCTCACTTCCTCAGTATTGCCTTCGGTGACAGAATAAGGGTATACAACTACCGCAAAGGAAATGCATTGGCAATTTTGAAGTATCACCAAGCCACGGTATGTCATCTTTTCCTTGACCTTACAGTTTCTTGCTCCAGTTTTTAAGTAGCAAGTATGTCCTCTTTGTAAATTTGAATGCGTTCTTCCCCTTCTATGTTAATTCTTAATTCTGTCTTCGTTGAACTTCTGTCTTTGTTGAATGCAGTGTAACGGTGTCTCGTATTCACCGGATTCCAAACTTTTGGCCTCTGCTTCAGAAGACTCAACAATTGCTCTGTGGGAATTATACCCCCCTTCTATATCCAAATGAGCACAAAGCAGTTCACCTAGACAGAGTAACTCAGTAACCCTTCATTTTACATTCATGCAAAAATATACAACAAAGCTTCTTTTCTAACTTCTAGTTCACCACCCTGCAGTTCTTCCTAATATGTAATCTCTCCCCACTACTTCCAGCTAAGCAGACCAATGCCAGCCATTTCCACTGTCGAAGCTCCGAAATCCTTGTAGAAGGGAACTTTCTTTAGTTGACACTTGACCACCATTGAGGCAGTAGCGATGGGTGAAACCTAGGGTTTGCTCACTTGAGAGCACTGCACAACTACATCTTTCAACTCGATACCCTAGGTTGGAATATGTCAAACTTTCTGGTAATGTTCTCCAAGGGCTCGGCTGGTCTCGAGAGCTGCTTCTCCCTGGCTGAACGCAAGCGGCCAGCACGAGCCTCCTGTCTGAATTTTCCACTTTATCGGAAACTGAAGCGATCGACTACTCTGTCAAACGATTGCTATGCTTAGCTTACCGGTTTTCTGTCTGTGAGTAATCTATCGGAAGTTTGATTTTCTTACTTGTGAGACACGATACAGTATGTTCGTGGAACTTTGAAGCTCGAATCACAGAGATTTTATTATTCATTCACATATCAAAATCCCAAGTACAGCAGTATACTACCACCAGTATCTGTACTGTGCAGTGTGACCAGTGTCATCAAAAGAATCTTCTTTACAACTGAGATCCAAAACTAATCAATCTGAAACTCAAAAACGCAACAGAACTACTGCAATCAACCATCAAATCCGAGTAATACTAATCTCTCAAAAGAGTGTCTCTGTATCCGATTGAGCTGAAACTTCCCACTTCAATTCAGCTTTTGGCGCTTCTCGCCCCCTTGCTGCTCTATTTCGGGAAAGTTGTCGTCGACCTCGCTAATATCTGCTTCCTGCATTGTTCTCTGATCGTCATGGCCGGAGGATGCACTTCTTCCGCCGGTAAAATCTGGCCGAGGTGGTTGAGGTAAAGCAGGGGGAAGCGGAGGCTGCTGCTGGTCGATATTCTGAAACATGTTGGTTACCTGAGGATGATTGCCGTGAACGGCCCTGCTTCGGCCGGTTGAGTCAGACGGCGGCAGAGGAATTGAAGTACCGGGAAGCGAAGGCTGCGGATCGGGATTCAGAATCTTGTCGATTTCCATGAGATCATCATCGACCCTGTTCATATCCCCTTGCTGCTCTGTTTTTTTCAGCGAGTCTTTCCCGTCTGCGGCGCTGCTTCCTCCGGTTGAATCTGGCTGCGGCGGCGGTCGACGTAAATTGGGGGAAAACAAAGGGTGCCAATCGAAATTCGGAATCATCAGTGGCGAATTGATCATCAGACGGTGAAAATCCAGAAGCAGCGGAGTGGGTTTGAACATCGGAACCATGGGAAGCTTGAATTCCGGTGTCTGCACCAGAAAACTAGGAGGAGGAACGACGACGCCGCCGCCGCCGCCTAACTGTACCGCTCCTCCCCGCATCGCCGCCTCCATCTTAAACGGAAAATGCGAATCTTTCTGCTCCAAAGCACGATTCCCACTTCGCCTCTGTTCGTCGTCTTCCGGCGGCGCCTCCATAAACGGACGAATCTGAGATTCTCGATTCTTGATTTTCTGTTCTACTTCTCCGTCTGAAATCTCCGCCTCCTTTCTAATTTCTTCTTCCGAACGTATCAACTGCGGCGTTCGATTGGGAATCGGAATCTCGCGGCCTCTCCGGTTCCTCGCGCCACCTCCGACGCGGTATTCTTCGGTCCCGACGAGATCCGAGACGTAGTCATCTGATTCTGGGTCAGTGACGTAGTCGTCGCCGCCTTGGTCGTCTTCTAAATAGCGGCGGTATCGCTCGTAAGGGTCGAGTTCGTCTTCAGAGGAAAGTTCGGGCCCTTCTTCTTCTTCGTGGTCGTCGTCGTCGCCGGCCGCCGGAATCCCCGGCAAGTTTGTTCCTTCGAGGGAGAGCCTGTCCCCGCGGTTTGACTCGATCGTCGTCGAACGGAAGAAAGTGTAGGAGCAGCAGCCGATCACGAGCAGAATCGTCGACGCGTGAGTGCGGAGCGACTGAAGGTGAATCAAGAAAGTAAAAAAGAAAGAAAACAGAGTCAGCAAAAAAGAAAGAAGAGAAAAGCGATCAAGAATCGAAGCTTAGTCAATGGAAGACTCACCGGGAAGATCATTGTTGATTGAGTCCGGAATTCACACCGAGGGAGAAATGGCGGGAAGGAAATCTCGATTAAAGAAACCAAAAAGAAGAAGAAGCGCAATTGAATCAAATTTTTCCTGGGTTCAGAAAGAAGCAGGCTTTCCTGCGGAGATGGGCTAGAGAAGATGCTACTACGGAGACGCCATTTCTATCTCTCTCTCTCTCTCTCTACAGATGATTCCAGAGCTGCTTCTTCTGGGAAATGAGAGAGAAGAAACAGATTTTTATACTGTGATCGGGATTATGTTTCAAACGGAGAAGACGATGGCGCGCAAGCAAAGGGTAAAATGGGCCTTTCTTAGGTGGACTCATTTGTCAGATGAATTTAAACGGCCCAATTCAGCTTGGGAGCCCAAACCCTTTCCTTCTCGGGCTTAAGCGTCAACCAAGTCCAGCCCAGTGGCTGCTGTTTAAGTGGGTGCGATGTGGTCAGCTTACATATTTGAAAATTTTCTCAACACCTGTAGAATGGAATGTAGTTGATTGAATTACTTCCAGTTTTTATTTATATATGCTAGGATATGACAGTCAAACGCATTCATATTGCATTAGGTCAACCATTAATTCATTCATCTTGCATTAGGTCAACCGTCAATTTTAATGGTCGGCATGTTGACAATTTTAGCATATAAATAATTTCAGCCCTCATGAGACACTTTGATCATCATCGAAAGTTGACACAAATAATAATTTGGGCAAAGTTCAGAATTCAAAGCGGTATTGACTCTTAATTTTTTAGCGTGTGTGTGAGATATCTTATTCGTACTTATCTTTTTTGGTTAAAAGTTCTCTCCATTGGTTTTTATCTGTATTCGATCTTTGTATTCATGTAACTAGGAGTGGGCGTTGAGTGAGTCGAGTGAGTTTTGGGATCAAATCGAACCACTCGTTTACTTCGATTTTCACTCGCTATTGTTTTTCGAGTTGGGTCGAATAGGTTGCGAGCTAGTGCAGTTGGACTGTGGGTTAACTAGAAAAAGCAATTCTCTTAAAGAATCTAACCCACCTCATAACTCTCCAACAACCTCTACTTATTCCAATAATTTATTCTACAAAAAAACAAAAAAATAATCTTAATTTTTCCACTGATAGCAAGCCGTGAACTCTCCGTTAGTCAGACACGGCCCAGTCTCCTTGACGATCCACGTGCAGTAGTACGTGTGGCGGCAACGGTGCATGTCCCTGCCCTGATCGTAGATATCAAACCAGTGAAGCCCTGTTCCCCAATCCATGCTACAGTAAAACATCGTGGTTCCAAAGATGTTGGGCAAAATCCTGAAACGGTATGTCTCGTGTGGTTTCACCACATGAACGTTGAGATCGTCGTCGTCGTCTCGAGATCTGCAGTGTATTTTCAGCGGTCGGCCTCCACCGATCTCGTTCTTGATCCACACCTTCACGTACGAGTCTAATGGCCACCAACGACGATCCGTCGTCGTCGCCGCCGTCGCCATTAGCGTTGGCAGGAGAGTCAGCAACACCACCGCCGCCGCTGAAATGACTCTGCTCTGCTGCCTCGTGGTCATCCTCAGGTTCTCCAAGTAAATTTTATCTTATGTTGTTTTGCTGCGTCGTGATACTAAATATATAGTGAGATTCGCTACCCAAAAAAAAAATAATAATAATAATAATCTAGTGAGTAAAAAAGACTTGGCTTAACTTTTATCTATTAATGGATGAAGCAAGATAAGTACCAATCAGCAAAATATTTCACATGAAAAGTAAGAATGATGATGAGAATATTGTGGAGAACAAATTTTTACCGATTCCTTTTTGTTTGATATTCTTCGTCACGCGGATAGATATCTCTGCTTATCTGTTGATATATGGAAACATTAATGTCACATACTAGTCAACGGGGATGGAGCCAGGAAATTTCGGGGGGGGGGGGGGGGGGGGGGGGGGGGGGGGGGTTTGACGAAAAATATTTTTAGGAGTAAAGTAATTTAATATTAAAAATATATAAGTTGTTTATAATTCAACGGAAAAAAATCTTTAAACCTTTCAAAATATGGTTTACATTAAATGGTTATTACAATAACTCTCGTTCAACTTAAATTACATATATAGTGTAATTTTAATTGGTAGAATATAGTTAGACATGGTATGTAAAATTACCTTCAATAATGACCGGAATATAGTTATAGTGTAATTTTTGAGATTTAGATTGTGAGAATGGTCATTTTTATGCCAAAATTGTAAAGCTACCTTCAGGATCTTAAAACACAACTTGACCACTAGGCTAAAGCTACCTTCTGTGTTTTAGCATTACAAACTTAAAATTTTGAAGTTTAGGGGGAGCCTCCTGCCGCAACGGTGGCTCCGTCCCTGCTAGTCAAGACAGAGCATAAGACATGTTAGAGATAGATTAAGGAGTGTTTAGATGTATAATCACCATCTAATAATATGTGCCGCTATCGATAGCACATACATATGTGCCTCTAAAAAGATTTAGAGGCAAATAAACACTCTACAGTATCCACTGCCCCCAAACCTCATTTTTCTTGTAGTGTAACAACGACAGAAACTAAAGATATGAAATTACATAATACAACCAATAAAATTAGTGGATAGCCCGATGAAGAATTTTTTACTTCTGAAAACGATGTTATAACATAATGTAATGACCGATGCGCAAATACTTAATTAGTATTTGTACGGCGCGTACAACGCCTTACGCTAGCTATCCTGGTTTACCTACTGTTTTGTTTGATTTCTCTTATCTGGAATGTCTTTGAGTCCGCAATGTGGCCGTAATTGTTGTGGCTACATGCGCGTTTAACTGGTTAATCCGTAAGGATTGCTATGACAAACAAACAAAAAATTATTTAGTAAGCAAATTGTTAGCAATTAAAAAACCCCGTAATTTTGATGTCATTGAATGAATGATAGAATATCAGCAATATGTAAGTAAGCAAACTTTTGCCATTAAGTCTAGGTATAGTTTCATTAAAAGGGGTCTTTAAGAAAGTGTAAATCCCACATAAAATAAATCCTATAGTCGTGAATTGACCAAAATGCAAATTCGTAATTCTTCTATGACTCCAATCAATTATCGGAGATCGACCTAGGATATTATGATTGTATAATACATGCATGATGCTCAGATGTGCTATATTAAGTTAGATTCAAATTTTGTGAAATTGTTACTTGTTCATTTCACAACCATATTCATTCGCTCAATTCAATAACATAAATTTTATCATAGAAAGTTCTTAGCTCCAACTGTTTGGTTGGATATGCAGAAGCTCCCAGCCGCAACCACGCCCGCGTCATTTTGTTATTGGTGGAATCACCTTCCTCGTTTCTTAATATTCAATGTTATTAACTACACTAAGAATTTTTTTTTCCTCCTCCTTTTATCATGCACATTTACACTTTCTACTGTTTGCTAATATATGCGACACGTGCGCGCGCCCAGTGATTATATTAAATAGACCATATCGAAACAAGTCCGACAATTAACATCTGGCTGGGGGTGGATTCGTTCAAATAGTCCTCCTATTGATTGATCAGGAGATTCAGCAATATTGTTGGATCGTTTCGTGCAGACGAGATCGCCTAAGTACGATAATAAGAAATCGCGGGCGTGATTGAGATTAAGATAGAGTCATGAAATATCCGACTAACCCGGCCACCTCATAACTCTCTAGCAACCTCTACTTATTCCCACTAACTTATTCTAAAAAAAAAAAAGATATCCGGCTTTATTATTTTTTCCACTGAAAGCAAGACGTGAAATCCTTGGCGATCAAACACGGCCCAGTCTCCTTGATGTGCCACGGGCACGTCGTCTTGCAGCGCTTGGAGTCCCTGTCAAAATCGTAGATGTCGAACCGGCGGAGCCCTTCCCCCCAATTGAAGTAGCAATAGAACAGCGTGGTCCCTTGGACGTTGGGCCAGAACTTGAAGCGATAACCCTGACCTGGATTCAGCACCTGAACGTGGAGGTCGTCGTTCCCGGATTTGCAGTGCACTTTCAGCTGTCTCCATCCCGAGATCTCGTTCATTATCGTCACCCTCGTGCGGGGCCCCCACGGCCAGTGCCAGTGCTGCGTCGTCGCGATGGTGGCCGGTTTCGACGACTCCGCCGCCGCCGCCGCCATTAGCGCCGACATGAGAATCAGGACCACCGCCGCCGCTGCTGAAATGACTCTGTTTTGCCTCATGATCATCGTTCTTTTTTTTTTTTGTGTGTGTGTCTATTTGATCTTTTTCCGTTTGGATTTGCTACTGGATGATGGAAGGGTTTGCTGGGATGCTATATATATATATTCATCTGGGTAATTTTCTATCGTGAGATCCGCTGTAAAAATCTAGTGAGTCAAAAAAAAGTAGTTGGTTACTGATGAGAACATTGTGGAGAAGGGGATTTTACTGATTCATTTTTTGTCGCATTATTTTCGGAGGAGGAATAGAGATAACGACTTGGCGTTTATTGAATTGAATCGAATGGTTTCGGACTATCGATCTGGACGTTAAAAAAACAAAACTCCAAAATCTCATAATACACTAAACCCTAACCAAATACGAAATTAGTTATTGATACTAGGTAGAGGTGGCAAATAGATTGGATTCATGGAGGGATGGATTGATTCATGGAATATGAAGTACTGAGTAGCTAAAACTCTACTTGAGTTAGTACGATCTTTTGCGCTATCAATTAAAATTCAATACATGATTATCTTATTACAATTTAGTCATACTAATTGTGCAGTAGGGGACATCTTATCAAAATCGTATCGAAAGACTCCTTGATTGATCAGTTTGAGGATGTAATCAATTTACCAAATAAAAGTGATCAAATTTATAAGATGCTCTCAAAGTTTGCTATAATTATTGAGGTTCAACAACACGTTAATTGTAAGGTGGTCATTGGGCATTTGTCTATCTCCTAACTCGCCTAGACACGTTTAGACGTTGTAATAAAAATAGTAATTTTTAATAATGATGAATGAATGAACAGTTCTGAAGCACTTTCATACTTCAGTTCAAATGATTTAACAACAAGCAAAATAACTCCCAAGTTTATCATGAATGAATTAAAAATAGTAATTTTTAATAATGATGAATGAATTAACAGTTCTGAAGCACTTTCATACTTCAGTTCAAATGATTTAACAACAAGCAAAATAACTCCCAAGTTTATCATTTTTTATACCAAATGGTATAATTAATTCATTTATGAGCTGAAATAGCAAATTATAAGCACTTAAATTTGTAAGTTAAAACTCATATGATACAATTATTTGACGAAATGGTTTTTATCATAGAGTGGTTCTATCGAGAGAGGTCTCTAAGAAACATGACTTACTTTATTATTCCTTAGGTAGATATAATATATATCTTCATCGTTACTTTTACATTGGATTCAATTTAGTATACTTTTTTCGTTTAGATAGATGTTTTCAATTAGTTTTTGGGATATAATATATCATTATTGTATGAAGGTTTAAGATATTAGTTCCTCTCATTTTCGGTTCAAATTGATGCATTTTTCCCTTTATCGTTCCCTTTTATCAGTTAATAGTTTTTAGGATATTTTTCACTATGAAATATCGTGAGCAGAATCTATACACAACAATTTGTGTTTTTTTTTGCTTCCTCTTCTCTTGATTAGATATTGTGTTCATATTGATTCTTATATTGATTATTGAATTACTACTTTTTTGTTCTGAAGTTTATGAAACTAAGATGCATTTTTATGAGAAACATGAAACTAAGATGCATATTGATAAAGAATGTAAGGTGTCATCTTCCCTCTTAAGGCTTAAGCAGTACATATCATTGTTTATCTACTATTAAATAAAAGTCTTTCTAATTTGAGTACGAGCTACAATGACTTTTATTGTTGTCGATTTTTCCCAAAATATTAGGTATGTTGCTTTTAGTTTTCACATTCTTTTCAGTTTGATTTAGCTTTTTATGTGTTGCTCTATTAGTTGAATTTGCCAGTTGGAGATCTGCATGCTTCGACTACTTTAATGTCACAGTGGCTTCTATATGAAATGTCACTCGAAACATGAGTGTGTGATTTAGTTTGTTTCTTATTAAGGATACTCCAAACATATACTTTGTTCCATTATATCAGTGAATACACTAAAGTCAATGGAGAAGTCGAAACATTTTGTCGTATACTGAAGATTGATTATGCATGTATGATGTAGAACAACTCTTACCATTGTTCTTCTTAGACGTTTTTATATCAATACGACTTCGTTTGAAAATATGTATTTATGTTAGTGGAGTTGGACGTTTTTCATCATTTTTAAAACTTCGTTAGTCAAATACATACTTTCTGTTGGGCTCATAGTTAAGCTATGTTGGGCCTAAGAGGCCCGTGTAAGCCCACAAGGAGACAGAGGCTAAGCCCACAAGGAAGGGACCAAGTCAAAGAGCGAAACCCGAGGAGGCATGGGGAAAAGAGACACCACAGGCGGCCGCCCTATGAAGTGACGGAAAGTAGGCTGGCTGACACAGGAGATCGTTGGTGTCAGGAAGACGGATCTCCCTAGGATTCTATCCTCGTATACAGCAGGACTGGGCATTTAATGCCCGCCGTAGGCTGTCCAGGTAAAGTCAAGTGTGCTTAGGCCGCCTGACATGGCATTAAATGCCTCATACCTAGGCTGGCTGACTACAAATACACTGGTATCGGCATTAATGGTAACTCAACTACTCTCTCTCTATCTATACCTAAACAACATTTTCTTACTTCTCTCTCTAACTTAAGCATCGAAGAGTGTCCGGGGAACCGCCCACGGACCCTTGTTTCGCAGGAATTGGAGTACGCCCTTCATCTGGAACAGACGTCTTGCTTGCCCTGCACTCAACCGCCTGGAACATTCTAGGCTTAAACAATTTGGCGCCCACCGTGGGGCAGGAAAGACACTGAAGAAAGGATGGACGGGAGCTCCAATACTCCTGTCAAAGACGTGGTCAGAGGAGATGGCTTCCGCAGCCAAGAGATCGCGGCGGGAAGTCTTCGCGGGATGGAAATGCCCGTGGTGGAGGAAGAGATGGAGGACCGCGTGAAAAGCCAAGGGCAGCAGATATCAAGCATGCAAGAGAGTTTGAGCCAAATCCTGGCCATGCTCAGAGAAAAGGAAGGGGAGGCCCCAGAAAGTTCGGGGAAACGAGCAGCCAAAGGAAAAGGAAGAGAGAAAGAACCCGACAGCCCTGCTCCGACAGAAGGCGGGGAGTCAGACGAAGAGGAAAGAGCAGGAGACGACAGCCTTGGGTTCCTGGAAGAACACCTAAAGCCCACATATGGGGGCGCAAAGACCCACCACATCTTACAAAACCCGCTGGCCAAAAGTCTGTTTAAAACTCAAGTACCACCGAACTTCTCATCACTCGGGCTGCCAACTTACGACGGAAGCTCTGACCCCGCCGACCACCTGAGCGCCTTCATACTGAAGATGCAGCTCATCAATGCCACAGACGCCGATCTGTGCAAAGCGTTCCCAGTCACATTTGGAGGGCATTGTCGAACCTGGTATACCTCCCTTCCCGAGGGAATAATCGAGGATTTTGAACAGTTTGCCACCCTCTTCTCCTCCAAGTTTGCATCCCAGCGAAGGAGGAAGCTAACCGTCTCCGCCCTAATCAACTGCAAGCAAGGCGGAGAAGAGACGCTGACCGATTTCTATGACCGGTGGAATGCCATAGCTTGTGAAGTGCAAGGGATATCGCCAAGCGTAGCAGCGGGAAACTTACGAATGTCCACACACAGCCGCGAATTGCGGAGAGCGCTCATAAAAAAAGAGCATGCACTGAGAGAATGGCCTGATCTGGACCGCTTAGTGCGGAAGGCGATCCTGCTGGAAGAGGCCATGATAATGGAGGACACCGCTAAGCATGTCAGCACGAGGGAAAGACCGGAGAAGAAGAAATTAGGGAACAAGTGGACATCAGTTTCTCGCCCTCTGAGCTAGCACCTGAGGAGAGCATAGAAGATCCACTCGTTATCTCCTTAAGAACTAGGAAGTTCAAAGTCACAAGGGCGTTGGTGGATAATGGAAGCTCGGCAGACATACTATTTTACTCCACGCTAAAGAGTATGAAGATGAGCATACAGGATCTGAAACCCTCGACGACCAGCCTTGTGGGATTTTCTGGATCGAAAATCAGAGTGCTGGGCATGATTGCCCTACAAGTAACAATCGGAGAGAGAGACGTGACGAAGACGCGCACCATGGAATTCCACGTAGCAGATTGCCCATCAGCATACAATGCAATTCTGGGACGCGGTTTTCTATCGCTGTTTTCGGCTGTTCCATCAACGTGCCATCAAATGCTCAAATTCCCCGTCGGAGGAAGAATAGGACGAGTCAAGGGAAACACGGAGCAAGCGAAAGAGTGCTATCAGGCAACGATAGAAAGCTTAGAGGTAGACTTGGTAGACACACGAGGGGGACACCCCCGTCCAGAAGCGGTTGAGGGAGACGCAGAAGTGGTCCTTGATGACGAGGAACCTGAAAAGAAGGTGAGAATCTCCTCTCATCTGACAGAAGAGAAAGCCAGAGAGCTGTTGGCACTCCTCAAGGAGTACAAAGACCTGTTCGCATGGACCTCAGAGGACATGCCAGGCGTTTCGAGAGAGCTTGCAGAGCACCACCTCTCAGTGAAGAGTAAGTCGAAGCCTATCCAACAGAGGCGGCGAACGGCATCCCTGGAAAAGCAAATGGCTTTGGAGGAAGAGGTAAGGCGGTTGCTAAAAGCCGGCTTTATTAGGGAAGTCAAGTATCCAACTTGGCTGTCAAACCCTGTTTTCGTTCGCAAGGCGTCCGGGCTATGGCGAATGTGCGTTGACTTCACAAATCTGAATGCGGCCTGCCCAAAGGACGCCTACCCACTGCCAAGGATAGACCAGCTGATTGACGCGACCGCTAACCATGAAAGCCTTAGTTTCTTGGATATGTTCTCAGGATATCGCCAGATCCGCTTGTCTGAAGAAGATCAGGAAAAGACAACTTTCATGACCCACATGGGGAACTTCTGCTACACGGTCATGCCATTTGGCTTGAAGAACGCCGGGGCAACGTACCAGAGAATGATTGATGCGGTTTTCAAAAGCCAATTGGGAAGGAACGTCGAAGCGTATGTTGATGATGTCTTGGTAAAGAGTAAGAAGGAAGCGGATCACCTGAAGGACTTGAGAGAGACTTTCGAAAGCCTGAGAAAGGAACGCCTGCGGTTGAACCTGCTGAAGTGTGTGTTTGGGGCCAAGGCAGGGAAG